TGTTGTTGGAAGTGGATTTGCCTAGGATGGCTGAAGCAGCAGATTTTTGTCTTCTCTTTATTTCTTGCCAAAGGTTGATGTAACGATTTCCCCCCAAATTATGTGGTTTACCATATGTGTACTAAGAGAGGGGTAATGGCAGATTCACTTTAAAATACTGCATTATTTCTGCCATATATTGTCATGTAGTTAAAAAAAGCTATGCTAGCATAAATAATATTTGCAAAGTAATATCGAGTGTGGAAATGTAACTTCAATTTTTAAATAGTCTTGCGATTATTGAAGTGTTGCTTGAGCTCCCATTCTATCTATGCAGTTTAGGCATTCTACAGCTGCTTAATTTATGTGAAGTACTTATAAAATGTGTTTATATTAGAAGTACATTTTTAAAGATGTACTTATAACTTGCTTACTACCCAAAAAAAGTTTTTTCCAGGGTGCTTTAATGTGAACAGTGTATGAATCCATTATTCAACAGGTAATAATCTAAAGCATGACTGTTGCAGCAGTGTCTGAGATCAGATCTTTTTTCCCCCATAAATGTCAGTACTGATGCATTACTGAGAACCTCAGAATTAAATTCTGAAGTTAAACTGCAGGGCTATAATTCTAAATGTGATGGTATCAGATCCTGTGACAACAGGGTAAATAGGTGTGTATCTGAATTTGTCAACAGTGAAACTATCTGTGGTGAACTGGGGCCTTACAGAAACTATTACAGCCTTGTAACTGCTTTTGCAGATGTAAGGTGTTCCATATGAACAGTAAATCAGCTCGTTATAAGGTTCCTCCTTTCCCCACCCCATGTATTTCTTCAGTTTAAAATAGTTTTGTTTTGCAGCAGCATCAAGTAACCTTAATAATGGAGGCCTCATGCAAGTAGCTTTTTGACAAGTTTTTCTAGATATGCACACTTCTTTTCCTAAAAGTTGTGCACATGTTACACATCAGCTTCAGAACTGGTCATTTGTTACGGGAAGATAAAAGATCCACTCTTGTTTTATAGCTCTCACAGTACACAGAATGCCACAAAACACAAATCGGCTTCTGCTGCAACAAGAACTTCGTATCTAAGGTCCCAATTGCTGTATTCACTAATAGTCAGTGAGTCATTGTGTAGGATGGGTATGGGTGGAAGTGATTTCCAGAGGGGGTCCTTAGGTCGGGCATTATGCCACACGGGAGGTTAGACTTTGATGCTCAGTAGTTGTTGGGGTTTTGGGGGGTGGACAGCAGTGGAGCCGTTCTAACAAAACCAGAAGAAACAACAAAATACAGCAAAAGCCATTGAATAGCTCACATTAAAGATTATGGGAAAGTACTAACATTTTGCATACTGCCTTCATGAAATTCATAGTTCTGCTAGAGTTAATATTAGAATTTTCACTCTCGTGCTAATGGAAGTTTGTCACTTTATATATATAAATGCACACACACAAACACACACAAAAAATATAAGCAGCAGTACCCTGAAAGCTGCAACAGATCTTGAAAATGACAGATACTGCCTTGGTCAAGTAGATTACACACGAAGAGCATATTAAATCTCTTCTCTGGTTACTACTGGTATGCCTAAATGATAGTATTGGATTCTTGTAATTATCAAGAATTCTTTTTAAAATACTTTATGCAACATAGCTGAAAGATTTGTCACAAAAGTACTCTTACAGTCTGGAGAATTTGTTTTGAAGTGTGGATTTTTTTGTCAAAATGTAGCAAAACTGATCATACAAATACCAAATGAAATAAATGACGAATTTGCTAGCTACTATTTATGAATTGTTAATATATTTTGTTGCCTTCACTACAGTTTGAGAAATGTTGGCACCACACATGCCTTGTGTTGGGCCTTTCTTTGTTGTTTATCTTCTAACTGCCTAAGGTACATTTTTCTATATTTAAAACATTGTGTGGCACATTATTTATTTCAATCCCACAGATGCACTTAAGACTCTCTGTGTTTAAAGTACATTCTACGTGCCTCTGTGTAAAATACCATACTGGGTACGTTGAAACAACTTATATGTGAAGAATTCTCAGCATGTGTAAAGGTGGTGGTTGTTTCAGTAGGCGAAAGACAATGGAACTTCTAAATCTTTGTTTTGCAATGAAACAATAAATTCTAAAATGCAGCTGTGGTTCAGAAGTGTTATTTGTAAGAATATGGTTGTTCATTAAAAATATGTTATTGTGTTATTGACAGGGAAACTCGTATTTTATTAACTGTAAGTATGAAACTCATTCCATATCTATTCGTCATGAATTATATCTGGTGGACTTTGCTCTGTGGTGATTGTGTATGATACCTGAAGTAGAGTGCAAAAGACTCTCCTGTTGTTAGTTCACAAGCTCCTGAGAAGCTGTGTTGCTCGACCGAAGGGCTGGAAAAGAAAAAAGGTTTGGATTGGGTTTTTGGGAGAGGTGGAGGGAGGGCGGGAAGGTTACCAGTTTATGAATGTTCTTCTTGAAGCATACCTAAGAGTCCAAAACTGTATGTTTAAGGCAGAACGTTGGTAATGCTTTGGGTACTTTTTGTAATGTCAAAGTATTTCCACTTTCTATCTAACCCTTGTTATGCTGAACTTACCATCGTTTTACTTTTTACGTGTAGATACTATGGATAACCTTCACTTGAGCGTCATAGCTGTGGTCCTTTACTTTAATCTTCCTGGATCAGTGGGAACCAAGTCACAGCAGATTCTTCTTGATACACATCACCATTCAGGCTGCCAGTGGGCTGGGGAGTTCTCAGTGAATTGTTCTTCTACCGGAATATCTACTGTTCCAGAGGATGTATTGCAAACAGCAGTAACAGCTGATTTTAGTTTCAATAAGATTAAAACTTTTATGTGCACTGATGGAAGAAATGAAGAATGGAAGCTGAAACACCTGAATCTCAGTAACAACCTGATTTCTGAACTCTCCTTAGCTACTCTTAGAAATTTACCCATTTTAGAAACTCTCAACCTCAATGGCAATGCCATCCAGACCCTCACACTGGACATACCTATGCCTCCACGTGGGTCTGAAGAGTATGGAAAATGCTGTTGTATCCTTCCTGCTTTGAAAGTATTGTCAGTTGAAAGAAATAAGCTTAATACAATTCCACGAGGTAAGCGTTTCAAAATCTTGAAAGGACCTCACTCCAAAGGGGTAAGTTGGTTTGGGATATGACTCAGTACATTGTGCTGAATTCAGAATGTGACTATGTCATTTAGGTATGCATGAGGTGAGGGAAAGTTCCGCCTGCGTGCAAATAGAGAGACTGAAGCAAATGGGTTGTTGCATAGGTTGGGATTTTTTTCTACAGTCTTTGCAGTCATAATGCCTTAATGTCAGTCACATACAACCAAATTGATCCTCTGAGAGCCAAGCAGTATTTTGCCTTGTATAAAAAGGGAAGTAAGGATCTTTGGAAAAACACCAAGCCTCCACAACCCAGTCATGAACCCTAACATCACAGGAATTGCAGATAATGAATTTTGTATTACTCTTCAGAAGAAAGCCAATACTCCTTTAAATAAAACTCGTTCTTATTTCAGTATTTTATGAAGACAGGAGAATAACATTTTGTTCAGTCAGAATGATGTTGCTCTATGCCACCTGATGCTCAACCAAAGTGACGCCTTCTAGTAACAAGAGAGGGCTGTAAGGTTTCCATAGGCTTTTACAAAGTGTGTGCTGGTCACTGAGCTATGCGAGGCATCGTAGCCTTTATGACAGCCTCTGTCCTCATGAAGAGATGGTTCATTGTCCATGAAATCTTTAAATGAAGCAGAAGCTGCAGTATGAGCAATGCTATACTATATATTGTTTGCTGAATTTAGTTGATCTCTAATAACATCATCAGATTCATTACTTCTAGGTTTTGAAAATATGGGGGGGGGGGGCAAACCGAAACCCCACTTATCTCACAAAGTCAGACAAAGGGAATAATTTTGCACCTATATACGGTCCTCGAAGTTCTATTTTTTTCTCCTTTTGTGATACTAAATAATTCTCTGGCATGCAGAAAACAGTTTCACTTAATTATTTTGTAGTATCTGTAAGGTTCCCGTGTAGACAGTATAGAAAAGCTTACATTATAAAATACATTGATGAAGATTTTATCTGTTTTGATAGATGAATATAACTACACATTATAGGATGCCTCAGTGGGTCAGACAGATCAACCCTTTTGTACCAGAGACTCAATTTTTAGATGTTAGAAGTCTGTTTAGATGTTAAAAGTTAACTGTCTATGCACTGTAGCACCATACTTCAAGTTATACTTAAATCCTCTCTTCATTTATATACATGCTCAGAACTTTATTTTCCTCCTCCAAAATGCTTCACTAACATTCTTGGGTTTAAGCTCTGGTAAGAAAACGCAAACTGAAGTTCTAAAGCAGAGGGTTTTGGCCACAGAGAAACCCTTCTCCCAGCCGCCACCCCAGGTGTTGGGCTGCTGCCCACCAGTGTATCTTTTTTTGGCACAAATTTAGCTTCAGGGAAGCATCCAAACCACAATTCTTCATGCAGGTCCAAGGAAGAATTTGTTAACTGCCAGAACTTCTGACTGCCTTTCCTATCAGCTACCTCTAGTTTTACAGCAAGAATGAATCATTCTGCTTTTCACAATAAACCCAAAGACCAATTACTCAGCAAACAGAACAGCAAACCGGAATAAGAAATTGGCAGTAAACCAGATGACACCAAGGGCAAAATTTCTAAGGAGCACCAGTAGCTTCTCAATAATGCTTTATGATCAAAAATCACTTTGGCGTGACATTTAGGTGTCACAAACTGCAGTGATGCTGAGTGTTCGAGTGCCTGCCTTCCTGCTGGAACTTGCAAGCTGGAGCTTTGGGGGCTGCCTGCACAGCACCTAAGAAAAATGAGGTTGCTTAGGCAAGACAGATGCTGTCGTAACTAGGATATGCTGAAGAATATGCTGTCATGCTTGATAATTCACAGGCAGACAGGCATAAGCCACAGCATGTTTTTGTTTTCAGTCAGGTTTACATCCTATGAATGTGGTTCAAATGATTCCACATAGCAAAAACTCCTGTGAACTTGCAGGTGGCGATGAATAGGAGATACTCTATCACCTTCTGCATCTCCATCTTTTACTTACAGTTAATGTATTTGGATTTTATAAACTGACTGTATTCCACCCTTTTCACACTCCTCCTTTCCTACCTCCAGTTCTCCAGAGAAGCATGCTCAAAGTACAGAGATCATAGCCAGGATAATTTTGATAGCACAAAGGAATGTTACTGCTTCTATGGAGATGGGAATTTTTAAAACAGGTATTGATAGTAAATGTTTTAACATGCCTGCTGTTGATGCTATGCAACTTTTAGAACGGGGCAGCCACTGAACAGGAAAGGCGTAATGACTCAAAGCCTGCAGCTGCTCGTTGCAATAGAGAGGAATGGAAGGAATTTTGTTGCAAAGAATTTTAAAAAGCCACTTGACAACTGGGAAAACAAGTACGCGAAATGTAAAACAGTTTTGTTCTTCCTAGGACTAGGCCTGCTGCAATCTTTACAAACGGTCCATTTGTCATCCAACAGCATACAGCAGATTGGTCTGAATGACTTTCAAAACTGTTCACAGCTGAAGGACATTGACTTGCAGAACAACAAGATAACTAAAATTCATCCAGACGCCTTCAAGGATCTCAACAAATTACAGGTTGTAAAGCAGTATTTCAATGTTTTGTGTTAATGACCATTAAAGGTAATAATTATCAACTATTCAGCATGGTTATATTGCTCTTTGATTATTATATTAGTATAAAATCATACATACTAAAGCAAATGGTGAAAATAATAATTATTTATGTATATTTGCTTTTCATATATGGGAAAACACACGCACTTGTAAATATATAAAATACAACCATAAATTCACCGGTTATCTATGCCACAAACCAATCCATAACCAGCTTACACACACACACACACGTCCTTTTCCACCCCCATCCCTTCCACAGCAAGAGCCCCATGGCTTCCCATTCACACAGAGGTAGTCCACAATGGGGGGAATTCTAAATATACCACAATTTAAACTTTTCATTTAAGTTAAAAAGCTTAGAAGAATATTCTTGAAATCCTAACCAGACATATTGTTCCTGTAACTGCAAAAGCGCTTGTAAACTAAATAAATGTTAATTGTTGATATTGCAATTAGTATTCCATTGTAAGGCTTATCAAATTTATTCTGAAATGTCTCCAATAGGTCGTGGATCTCCGTGAAAATGCTCTGACAACCCCTTTACCACAGATACTAATCAGTTTGAACTTCTTTCAACTTGAAGTGGGTTTGTCAAATAATGCCTGCATCTTTAACGGCAGACTAAATGCTTTCAAACAATTATTTCATCTTCTTTTTGACTCCACGAGGAAAAAATTGAGTATTTCATACAATACATCTGCCAAGAACTCACAGAAACCTCTGCTGTATCTTTCAAGTTTCCATTTAAACTGCAGCGACAGTGTTTTGCTCAAGAGGGCTGTAATCCCAACAGGGAAGACGTTGGTGCTAAACTGTGACCTGGACAACGCAAGGGGTATGTAAAACAGGGACACTAGCCATACACCCCTAAAATCCAGATGTAAGCAGAATGATCAAAGAAATCTGGTTTAGAAAGCGGATTTCTAAAGATACTGTTTAAAAATAACTTTGCAACAATTTAACGTGCAAATTATTCCCTTAGAAAGTAGTATGCCAGTTAGAATATTTGAGTCATGTTTCCCCAAAAGTCTTCATCTCCTTCCTTACATTAAACTAGTAAGTGATGCCGTATTACACACAAATAAATTTCAATACAAGTAGTATGTTGCAAATTTATCAGTTAATTTTTGAATGCAAAGAAAGGCCCGAATAGCAGGGTGGCACTACTGGGGCATATAGAAAACTGAGAAGGATACAATGGTGTTTCTAGTATTTAGTTATAGCAAAATGAAATAAAAGTTTATTTGCAAGGGAAAGGATTTGTATTTCTTCTAAAAAAAGTACAGCTACCGTAGCACACAGTTCACTTGGGAAATGAATTCAGCATTTACAGTTAATACAGAGCACTTGAAGTCCAAGTGGCAAAATCTACAGAGCTAAGACTTCCCATGCAGAAGGAGAACCAAGACCAAACTTAGAGCAGAAGGTGTGTTTGTCTTGTGCCATAAGGCAAAATGGTTTAACTCGAATGGACTAACAGCACTTTAGGTGGTAAGGCTATGAAAGGCTATGAAAATACGTAGGGTCTACCAGAAATGCCACCTGCTTTGTCCATTAACGTCATGGAAACTCTCATCACGGGATTAAAAGCCACACGCTGGATTGCATCAAAACTCAACTGGGAACGCAAGCAAATCCAAAGGCAAAGGCAAACCTTGAAACTTATTCCGAAAGCCAGCAACCAGCCCTGGCCTACACTAGCTGAAGTTCAGAACAATTGCTCAGTAGATACAAATATCCTTGGTTTTCAAACCTTTTTGCTGCAGTCAAAGCAGTAACCACAGGAAAATCAGAGTGGTTGAAACACTGACAGTTAACTAGCGAAGTTTCATCTCATAACTGCACACAGCAACCATGGCCACGCTGGAGAACGGCTGGTTATAACTATGGATCTTCCATGAGGGAGATCAGCAGGTGTTTCTAGTATGTCCCAGAACATACTGAGATAATTTCAGTGACCTCCTCCTTCACCCACGCCATTTTTCTTGTAAAGCCTGCTATTAAGACCCCATACGTACCGTGTTTTAAATTTGTGGGGCGGTTATACGATGGTTTAACAGATACTTGGTACAATGTAGAATGACTACGGATGGATAAAAAGAAAATTGATTTTATCATAAATAGTTAAAATTATCAAACACAGGTCAGAGTATGTTCTTGTAGAAATAACTTGACCCTGGAAACCAAGTATCCTATACTTTTAAAAAGATTTAGTTTGTATTTTCTTTTGTTTCAGGTAATGGAGTCTCTTGGTGGACACCTAGAGGCAGAATTTCAAAAGATAATAGCCTTCCTCATATGACACTGGATAAAATGAATAATTTAGTGATATACAACGCTGAGAAAACTGCTGAGGGGTTATATTTGTGTATTTTTAATACGACAAAGAAGAAATCGCTCATCTACAATATACAGGTGAAAGAAAGGGTTTCAACATTTTTGGTTAGAAAAGCCCGGGACACTAACACTGGTTTTAGACAGGGAAGAACAGAGCAAGACCTTGCGTTGGCTGTCTGCCTCTCGGTGCTCATTACCTTCATTTGTGCTTTTTGTCTGGGTGCTTTTGCTAGACCTTACCTTGTGAGCCTGTGGAGAGTCATGTGCAGGAACAAAAATTCAGGTTCAGACCAGACTTATACCAATCAAGCTTTTTCAGATGAAACCTTGCACAGAGAGTGCTCTGTAAGCAAACCAACAAATACGCAGCATCATTTGTTCATTTGCGATGAGAATTCTTCAAGAAACACATGCAGTTTTCCTATAGAGGCTTCTATCGTGCATGAAAATGTCACTGGTAGCAGCATACATGCACCAAATGCTGAAGAAGAGTACCAGGAACAAAGCAACAATGAGATCAACGTGAGGAAAACAGTGTTTTCAGACACCAAAACTAGTATCAGCAATGATGAAAATATAAATGTTGATGATAATGGACTATTTGCTGTAAGCACAGATTACAATAATGGCAATGAACTAACACCAAGAAAATTAATGACTCATAACATTTCGTTATGGCAAGATTCAAAATATGCAAATAATGAAGACTCAGAGAAGAGCAGGTTCCCTCTCATGCCCAGGAGCCTGAATGCTGACTCTTACTCAAATCACACTGACTCTTCAGATTCGGATTTATCCTTCCCAGGAGAAACTGGCTTTCCATTTTCTACCATACAAACACATACAGTTGAACACGATTCTGGGAACTGCAAGGTAAGCAACAACCCTGATCTGCTGCCATCTGGAATCACAAAGGCTACACCAGATTCCCCTGAAAGAAAAGGTATTGTTTCACATGAGCCCACGAGCACTGCAAAATTTATGCCTGGAAGGCAAAGCTGCGATGAACAACTTGGTCTAAATGGCAACATAAATATAACCAGTGATGTGGGAGATTTGATTTTACCCAATAGCTGCAAGAGAGATACAAATATTGAGAATTTAAGTGTCTACCGAACAACAGAAAACTCTCCTCTTACAGAGTATGACTGGAAAACGGAATGTACAAATGAAATAGATGCTTCAGCAGATATATATGGCCACAGTTCTTCATCTGAAGGGACTCCATTCACAATGAGTGACTGCAGTTCTTTAGCAGACTTTGAACCTGAACCACCTGACGTTAGCAACAACCTGCCAGCCTGTCAGTCGTCACTAGAGGAAGAAGATAAGAACAGTGAAACTGGGAAGTTCTCAACACTGCCAGAGTCTCCAGACATTGCTGCTGAACTTCAGTGTATTGGAAAAAATGAAGACGAGAACAATGCGTATTTTGAAACCACTATTAACTATGGATCACAGCCCATCATGCCTGAAACAGCATCCCCTTACACTGACAAATGTAGTGACCATGTAAGCCTGTCAGATTCAGACACCATTAGTTCTTCAAGTCAAGGAATTCCTGATACGTTTGATCATTTTACCAATGCAGAGTCAACAGTACAGAACCCTCTTTCCAATTCTCCCCACAGTCAAAGCGCAGAATTTGGCAATGCGTTATTTTCATTAAAGCATTCTCCCACGTATGACACAGATACAGAGAACGCTCCTGAAGAGGCTGAATTGCAGCTGTATCAGTTTCCCACTGAACCACGGCATTCCCTCAGATTCAGTCCCACTGAACAAAAAGAAAATGCACCAGAGGGAAGTACACATGAGCACGTAGACCCGAGCTCCTCTGGAAAGAATCATGTTGAAGAGGACATTACCTTAAGAGGAAACACAAGTACATCTGAGGATGATTTTATTTTTGCTCCCATCGATATTGGTTTGAATGAAATTGTTAGAACAACATCACTCCTGCATTCCAGCAGTGAATCATCTCTTCAATCTCTGCCTGAACACATACCTGAAAAACATTTTTCGGTTCTGATGGAGAAAGAAGACTTGCTACCACAGGGGAATCAGGTGAACACAACTAAGGCTTGTGTAGATGAAATGCAAAGAGGTTTTAATGAGAAAGACTGTGATGGATACACAGCATTACAGGGTACCAGCAACTGTAGTCTGCCCGAAGAAACGCAGTCTCGCAATCTTACAGCAGATTTGCTGCATCTTCACTCCTCTGGGACAACACAGTCAGTCTTCAGCACAGGAGATCATTTCCAACTGGATCGGAGTGACAAGGATGCATGTTCCTTCTCAGACCCACAAGGCTCCTTCAGTGGAAGCACACGATACAGTTCACGTTTATTCCCACAGAAGACTACAGGAAATATAACCTCCAAAAGCACGGATTCCAGCGAGACGGAGGATGACGCTACTTTGACAGGACCAAAGAATAATTCTGCAACCACTGTCAACCTCCAAAATTCAAGTGAAAAACTCAGTCAAGAAAGACAGACCCATTTAGGACAGGGCCAGTTTTTTGTTAAGAAGAAAAGAGCTTTTGATGGATTTGCTAATGTTTTGCAAAGCAGGAGAACAAACTTCAATAGTTGAGATGCAGAAGCACAATACTGAGCTCCCACGGTGTTTAGGTCATACAGTAGGTGCAAAGATTATTGTGTCTTAAAATGAAGTCTGTAGCTTTTAACAACTGTTCAATACCATGGGTTGTTTTGTTTCTTGGTTTGTTTGGGGTTTTTTCCTCAGTCCAACTATCCATCTGTAACTTCAGAAATCCGAGTTATGGAACTAGGCTTAACAAGATGCATAAAGCCTGGATCCATCCCATTTAGAACCACCATAATTCCAAAGGGTAATTCAGGCAGAAGCCATGGACTTTTGTTTATAAGGGTAGTTGTAAAAAAACAATAATAGATTTTATGAAAAACAACTCTAGGATACTCAAATCAATAAACTACTCAGTAGTTATGACTGATAATAAAGCTTTTGCTGAGAAACAACAGCTTTCTCATTATTGTTGGTACTAAGATACTAGTTTGCCTTCAAATTTACCTCCAATACGCACTGTTTTGTTTCTCTTTGTCTCAAATAAATGTAAGACTGAAATTACCATGATGTTATTACTATGATTGTGTTTTTCTGTGGAACTCGCCCTACACAGTGAAATAGTATAACGTCTTCTGCTTTTTGAACCAAATTTGTGGATTGTGTCTGAATTCCCACAGTTTTGCAAAGATAGGTGAAGTCCAAGCAGTGTTCAGTTACATTCTAAAAATTACTTTTTAACTTGGCAAGACAGAGAGAGTAACGAAACCCTTCTTTCTCAAAGAAAACAGGATAGGATTCAAAAGTTGCAGAAAAGCCAGTAATGGAGATCTAGGGACATCCCCTGTAGTTTGCAGGCGTGATGACGTGGGCAAGGTAATACAAAAAAAGACAACCTACTATTACTAAGCCATAATTCCCTGTAAAAAAGGATCCTATACCCACTTCAGAATTTTACTGAGAGGGGCAAATCAAGAGTAGCTCAAAACTGCTGCATTAGAACATCGATAGCTTGATAGACAGTAACTTTTTCTAAGCCAAAAGATAACAAATGTAAGATAAAAATGTCTCTGAATGTGGCCCAAGGCCCTTTTAGCATACACAGTATCACTGATGTCGTCCTTGAAGGGGAATGTCATCGCAAAGGGGAACAGGCCCGGGTTCCCAGAAAATGCAGGAGGCTGGCCAGCAACTTTGGGAAAACTCTGTTATGAAGACACAATTAATTCACTAAAAACTCCAAACAGAAGGAACACATTCCAATTCCATCAGATGAGCGGCAAGTCCAACGGCACAGTACATCTTTGAAACCATCTTTAAATAGAAAGTTAGGAAAGAACGAAGAGATGCTGAGAGAAGCTGATAATTTTTGTCAGCTTCACGTACTTGGAACTGAAAAAAAAGTATTGCAAAATACTTAAGAGGCAAGTAAGAGCAACTGAGAGAGACCGGTACTTGATGTTTTGAAAAATATTTTCTTTAGCGCCTCGAGTTCCTTTTAAATAATTGTTTTACACTCCTAGCATCACGGTTATCAGTTATATATTTGCTGATCCAAGTCACCTATGCTTAGGTCTCTGATCGGTTTGAGGGTTTTTCTGGCCAATCTTCTCACAATCTCTAACATATCTCACAACAGATTATATGACAGCTTCAGGTCAGTGTTGCATGGGTTTTATTTAGGCCACCACAGTATTTGCAAGTAACTGCACTCAGTAACGTCTGTAATCCAACTACAAGCAATGAATCTGCTGTCATTCACACAGATCTTCTTGCTTTCTAGTCAGTTCTTGAAAGACTTCTGTTCTTTTTGCTCCAGTACTCAGCGATATCTAAACTGGTAACTAAGAAGGTTTTTTAAAAGCAGGTATCAGCTTCATTCCTTCAGTAGGAGTCTGCTCAGGAACCAAGCGTGAAATCATGTTCTGAAGACAACAATAATTTGTCACCACATTATTCCCAACTTTAAGGGTCCGATTCTGTTTTCTGTTTTTCAAACACAGGAAAAAATATTACACGTTTAACTGTCTAGAATTGCTCATACAGTCTGATTAGACAAGAACTAAATGACAAAACACTCAAATCTTCAAAAATCACAGCATTGCCAGCAATGTTAAAAATACAGTAACTCTAAAGCAAAGTTTGTTTCTGAATAAAACTCATTCCTTGATTATGTAAATGTCTGTAAATGCTATACCCTGCTCTAGTGCAATTTTTCTCTCCCAATCCCCGCAGTCTCAATATTCAAGTAACACCTTGGCTTCTGCTGTTCTCAGAGAACAGTGTGTGACAAAAAAACAACTGTTTTTAGAGGCTGTCTGGAAGCAAAGAATTGGGTAATTTGATTCCTCGTAGAACAGCTACATAGTCCCTGGGAGCAGAAAACAGAATAGTATTTCCTCACCACCAGTGCTTTTCTTAGCACCCATCACCAGCTTTCAGTAAAGCCTGTTATACACAGAATTTACCTGTGGCCAAAGCAACTTTAAAAATGGAATACATAAAAAAGTGCAGACTTGCTCTTTATGGTACGTATGAGTCTCCAAACCCTGTGCTGACAGACCTCTCCAAGGTCAGTCACCTTTTGACTGTACCAGCTGCTAACAAGTTAAGAAATCTAACTACATAAGCCAATTTCATGGATCGTGGGGGGTAAAAAAAAATAAATATATGTATGTATTTGAGTGGCTCTATTGATGTCTCACACACAGCAATGTTGTGTCATTTGCTTTTGCTACGGTT